AGATCCAAACAAGTTTGGATGCCAAAAGCCAAATCAGCGCCTAAGGCAAAAGCAGGCGATGTTGCTCTCCGGCCTTCGTCAACTCTAGATTCCACTCCCGCACTTCCGGTGAAGCCCTATGATAGCGTGGGACTCACCAAATCTAGAATCCAATTGAAGGATTGCATTGGCCTGCTACCCGAGGATCGAGGCAAAGCACCTATTAAGGAACACTTGGGACCATTGAAGGAACCCCGAGCAAACATCCAGACTGGGAGTAGTACGCGACCTCCTAACGAGTTAATTTCTACAATGGCCCGCTTGACGGTGACAAGGCGATGTTTACTCAGAGGAAAACACGTCAGACATAAGAATGAGTTATACCTGAGAATTTATGTAAACAGCCGATAGGTTGCTCTGACCGTAATGTCGATGAGTTGTACTATCGGGCTGGGGGTACGAATAAATCTCGAAAGAGAAGTACCCGGGAAGCGGACTCTCGCTGTCCGTGTAATAAATTTATCAGGGCAGTATTATCAGCGTGTAGCTGCCCCAAGATCGCTCCACGGAGGGTCTCGATATTCGAAAGTATCTCCGCAGAAGCATTGAAACCCAAATCAAGGCATTTTAGCAAGAGGCGATCAGCCAATCGAGATGACGAACTCCCAGCATTCACCATCAATATGGTCGATAAGGGGAAGTCTCCGATTACTTCTAACCCCGATTTCTCCCCAGGAAAGAGAGTCAATTCGGGGATAGCCCAACTAATGTCTCGGCTTCAATTAGAAGCCGTCGGGCCTGAACAATCCGTAGTCATCGCCAATGTGACTGATAAGAGGAAATCTACCCGACCCTCTGATTCGGACCCCCTCATATCACATCGTTTAACTCGGCTACGTGCAGGGACTACTAGACGTAGAGATTATTTGAGAATGACCAGAGGACTATCCTCAAAATATGAAGCGTCAGACGCTTTCTCGGCAGTCGCTTCAGAAGCCACCGTATCCAGTCCCGGACAATCTCATGAGGTGTTTATGATCAACACCGAGGAAGTAGCCAAAATGGTTAAGGATGCTTTAGCTAAGCAGAAAGAAGCATTCAAGATCGAAGTGGAAATGGCTATGCAGGAGATGAGACAAATGCACGACCAACAAATCCGAGCTTTGTCGAATCAGCTAGGTGAGTCTAG